AATTTTCATTTGCATAAAGTAGTATTTTGAACTGTGAATTTGCTATATGTGAATTGTTGTTTTATTTAAGAATAATAATATTAATGTGGAAAATAATCTGAGACAGTAATTATGTAATTAACTGAAACGAACGCAGAAAGATTTTCAAACAACTGCGCAATTCGTGTATAAATATCTGTGTTTGAGTGGTCACAACCCATGGAGAAAAGGAAGAGATATCGACAAGGAAAAGTACAGTCGTAAATAACAGTGCGCGCGTGATGTGTGTCACATTGTAGAAATTGCGTGATACCAGAATGGCACATACATGTATAGTCTTTCGTTCTGCACACGGATGATCTCACCCGAATTAAATCCATTATTAAATCGGCTGAAGCGTCTTCTCCGCGTGAGAAACGTAGCTCGGATACGAGAACCTTCTAAGCCTATTAATCATTTTTTAGCGGTCTATCGGTTGATTAATTGTTGAACGTTTAACTCCACTAATCTTGAATTATTGTCTATGACAGACACTTAATCGTTGACCAGTGATTCTGGAAGTACACCAGTGAACAGTGTTAGATAGTTTTTAAAGATATCAACTTTAAAATTGCCCATATGAAAATTAATCGAATTAACTTCAATTAATTTTCACATCGCCAATTTTAAAGTCTCCATATTTTTGTAAATTTTTCCATAAAGAGGGCAAAGAGGACTATAACCCTATTTATTTCCGAATTTTTAGGTAGTGCCCTGCTATTATAAAATTGCGTTTCTTTAAAATAATTGCAAAATAAATTGTTGAAAAACCACCCATAAAGTTCATTTTGATCAGTTTGTTAGTTCAACAGTTTTGATTTGTTGAAAAAACGTTGAGATTATGTTTCAAACAGCTGTGAAATCAATAATTTGTAAAATTTTCATAACTCTTCAAGATACGTTTATATAAACTCTAAAAAGTGTCCGATTTCGCGTGGAATGACCCATGGCTATTATTTTTCAAATAACTATCTCTGTACCAAACAGCATAAAAATCGGCGTGTTACACTTGAGTGATGTCCCTTGTTAGATCGCCGTGAAGATAAACTGAACGCAAAGGAAAATTTATTTAGCTTCTTAAGGGGTCTAGTAGGTTCGAAATAAAAACAAAACCTAAACGGACTTTCTAAAACTGTTTAAGGTCAATGTCCCTATTTCTAATCACATTAGAGTTCTGCTATCGCAGAAATTGATTTTTATTATTTCTTTACGCAACAATCGACAAAAGAACTTATTAGATATGAAATTTAAAAACATTTTAACTTAACAATAGTTAATTGAATGTGAAATATAAAATGTCCCTGTTTCTGCTCAGCGAAAATAGAATTGCCAAAACCAAATTTCGGCGAATAATACCAAAGATTCCTAAGTTTTTTTTTAGTAAAAACACAGAGTCCACGTGTAACTCACGATCGCAGTGGAACCGCTCAAATCATTCAATTTATTTCTATTAAAATGCTGCTATCTATTGAACAGCAGGCTGTAAAATTTTGTAATTTAAATAATTTTTTATATAACCAATTTATTATTTAACTTTTTACATTAAATAAAAAATATACATACTGAGGCGAAATCAGGACGTGATTAGAAATAGAAACATTGACCTCACCATATTGAATTTTACACGGTTTTGTAAACGCATAAAATCCGCAGTCTAGTTGCCAGAGAAGGTACGTCTCGAAATTCGGGAAAGAACGGGTGATGGCTGGCCTAGATCCCCGCGAAGATGTTCGCGTCGGATACGAAAGACGTTAAATTCGACGGCGTGGGTGACGATTAGCTTCTCGCGCGTTCTGCCGGAGAACGATCAAGTAATTCGAGACGATCGGGACCGGCTGTCGTACTGCTCGTCGAGGATATGACGATCTACATGCGTAATGCCAACCTGGATGTGTCGCTCGTTAACGTAACGTTTCGTTTCTCCGACGTACGTAATGTGTAACGGTGCGTGAACGTATGTATGTACCCGCGTCCTCGATCTAAATCTATGGCGCGATCCGGCGGAACCGTTAAACGGTGCAATAGATGCATTATCAAAGCCTCAACCCTTTGGACCGTGTTCCACGTGTCTTTTATCAGAAATTGTATTCAGAGATATTCTGACAGCCAGAAATTAAACTCCACTTCAACATGCGCGAATACCACATTGTAGTATGAATTAGGTTTTTTAATTTTTTATGATCAAGATCTTAAAGAGAATAAAATGCAAATTGAAATGACAATATATTTTTTAGGGTAAAATTTCCTTAGAAATTGTATGATAGAGGAAAGTAGACAAATATGGAATGCCATTTTATTTTTCGAATGTCATTCGTACGAAATCAATCGCAACAAATAAACGACTTTTATGGGTATTCAGTCATATATATCTTTATGCTGAATTTAAGGACAGTCTCACATTTCTAATGTTACTAACATTTCTCAAACTATCTCTGTTCATGTCCCACCTATAGGGTTATTACTTCTCATTCATAGTTACTGACCCGATTCGTTGGATAAAGTCCCTAGTAGCAATTACTGTTGGCATTTTGATGGGCCTTTGATAAACTATTGGTTGGCCAACAGTTAGAAATGTCACCCGTTTTTGTAACTGAGCCAACAATCATACCCAACGTAGGGCCTACGTCACTGTACTACGAAGAACCAACTGGAAGTTTCTTTCTGTAGGGCCAATTGTTGAGTATCTACAATAAACCAACAATAGAAAGACAGTTGGCTATACTACACTTCCATAAAATCCTTTACAAATATTTGAAGGAGTATAACATTGGAAATAATATTTATAAATTATTAATTAAATTAAAATATACATTAACAACCAAAGCGTCAACAGAGTCAAAAGATCGTTTGACGAAATCAGGATAACAGAACTGAGAGATTCTATAATCAATGTGTTCATTGCAAATTAATTTATAAGAAATTGCCGGTGGTACATACCCAGCCTCGGTCTTCTATACATAGAACGACTCTGACATGTTTTCTGTGCTAACGGGATTATTAATTCTTCTTATTGACGCTGCACAAGAAGCTTGACCTGCCCTTCGGAATTCTTTCCTTTACCAAGCGTGACTCAAGGACTATTAACGAGCAAGCAGGGATTGTAAACGACGGGAGACCATGTGAAAAACTAGACACTGCTTTTTATGGTTTTAGACGTGCACCGTTGCGAACGGTCACCGTTCCTTTTATTATATCTAATGGTGGGATCAAGTTCAATATGTACCCGGTATATCGGCCAATCCTGAAGTTCGGCTTTGTTGAAACGGACAACGTCCAAAGATGGACAATGTTTTCTGTATAACAAAGCGTTTCTTGATTTTGTTGCCTCAAGGTTATCGGTATTTTTTAAATGGAATCCTATAATTTTTTTCGAAGTCCTTACAAAGCATAAAAAAAAATAAATTCAACGTTTTTAATAACCACACCGTTTCGATCATTTGATTTCGAGATATTGCGCATGTGTTTGGGTACGGATGTGCGAATCGATGTGCCACGTGAATCTTTAGGAAACTTTAGTTATCTTCAGATGCAAACATCTCGAGATTAAATAATTGAAACGGTGTGGTTATTAAGGTCATTGAATTTTTTTTTTATATTCTATAAGGATGTCGGAAAAAAGTACAGGATTTTATATTTAAAAAATACCGGTGACGTTGAAATATTGTAAAAAAATGGCCTCGACACAAAATTTTTTCCACTGTTACATGTACTCCTTAAAACAGTTCAACTTTGTCTTGAGAAGTTTTTTCATACAATAGTAAATAAGGCGGACATTTCAGTGATCCCGTTTAGTTGGACACTATATTAAATTTTGTTTCTCATAATCGGTTTCAATTCAGATAATCAGCATTCTGTTGTGTTTTCGAAAGTACATATGGAGTTTTAATAACCTTAACTTATACCTCTCGTGCCATGCTACATCGAGAAGTCCTTAGCACAATTGCCTTAGCGCTTCGCGTCACGTCGAATTAATTGTGCGTCACTAATTAGGATGATAGAAAAATATTCTTTGTTTTTCCAAATAACCCTTTGTTAGAATAAAGAAGTATTAACGGAGATAATTAACTAAGAAGTTGACTATACGACGATTAAACTTCAACTGACGATTCCTGGGCAATAGAAAAAAACTGTAAAGGAAAGATATTCTTCTCTATTGGCTAAATTCTAATAAAAATGTAGGTGTCTGCGTTATATCTAATTAATAGTCTCGTCGTTGCAGATGTGTCACATACAAGCGAAGTAGAAAAATGGAAAGCTTCTTTGTTTGTTCTTACGCATTGTTCATGAATTCCTAGAATCAGTCTTTGGTGAAAATTAGTAGAAGGCTCCTATATAAACCCAAGCGCATACGGTTGTAATCTGTCCAAAAATTCAGGTTCGCAGGGTTTGTCGGCAATGAAACAATTTAGACCCTCGAGGTTTTGTAAACGTTACTCCGCAACACTACGTACCATTTCCATTTAAAAAGAAATTTTATATTGCAACTGCACCGATACACATATGAACAGTATCGTGTCACAGTTCTTGAACACTTACTTGTAAACGGTCAGTCTTAATTTTTTCCTTAAATGAAAGTTCAAGAGTACACTTTAGTATTTACAAACCCCGCCCCCCTCCAAAAAAAAGTCAAATGAATTGAAATCAGCAAAATTTTTACGAAAAAGATCGTGTCATAATATGGTAGATCTCGTTAAACCTTGTAAAACTTTTCTCCACGATCTATACTTCCCACATAGCACATGACGTACAATGACGCCTTCAAGACGGCTTAAAGGCGCCTTAGACCTAAAATAGCCGCAAAATAGGCGTCTATAAGACGTCATGTGCTATCTTACTATTATAGAATCCCTTGCATAGGATTTGGTCATGCACCATTTCGATACTATTTGCAACATGTTGGATCCCACCATTAATTATGCGCTAGAGTCTGGCAGTTTTGCGTGACCCTTTGACGTTGATAAATCGAATATCTTATTTCGCAGATGGGCAACTTAAAAGCAACTCTGGGCACAAACGATTTTACCGATTCGAAGGCTGGTCTCTGTCGGGCGCTGGTAGCAGAATTTCTCGGAACGATGCTGTTAAACTTCTTCGGCTGCGGATCCGTCATCACCGGAAACGTGGTCGCCATAAGTCTTGCCTTTGGCTTAACTGTGGCTGCCGCTATTCAAGGAATAGGGCACGTTTCTGGAGGTCATGTCAATCCAGCAGTGACGTTCGGTTTGATGGTTATTGGCAAGGTAAAAATATTGTTATCCTTATTATAATGTGGGCCATCTGCTCTTCAGTAATTACATATTCAGAATTAATATTAATTAAAATTAATACGTGACAAAAGTCTTACGGAGGAGAAATATACATATTAATGAAGACTTACCTTAGAAATATAACAAGAATCGTCATGAAAATATTTCGATAGTCGCATATAAAAAAACAATGATTGTGTATATGTACATATAGGGTGAATCATTTAGAAGATGTCATCTAATATCTTCGTTATATGTCGTTCTATGAAAAAACTCCTCAGGAAAAAGTTACGCTATTTGAATGGGCACAAGTAATGGTAGACATTTTTGTTAAAGGTTATTTTTTAAAGAGATTTTAAGGTCACTGGTATTTTTTAAATGGAATTCTATACTTTTTTCCATATCATCGTAGAGCATAAAAATTAAATTCAACGTCCTTAATAACCATACTGTTTTGATGATTTAATCTGGAGGTACTTTCATCCGAAGGTGTAGTAAACAGCTATGTTTAAATCTATAAAAAATAAAAATAAAAATATCTCTATATTAAATGATCGGAATGGCACGGTTATTTTAATCGTTGAACTTGTTCTTTTGATATTCTGTGAGGATATAGAAAACAATATAGGATTCCATTTAAAAAATTACCAGTGATATCGAAATCTCTTCAAAAAATGATCTTGCAAACAATTTTTTTCTATCATTACATATGCCCATTCGAATAGTGTAACTTTGTTTTAAGGAGTTTTTCACACATCAAGTAATGGAGATATTCAACTGGTCTCATTTAGGTGGTCCACCCTGTATAATTATGTAAACTGGGCCACGGTAAACTATAGAGGTTCCCTCAAGTGTGGTTAGATTGATTTTTTTAGATTATAATGTGTCACGTTAAAAGCATGTTACTGTCGTTTGTATGCCAGCCTCATACTTACTGGTGATATGATTGAATGATAATTTATTAAAAAGACTTTTAAGGTTGTTCAGCCACAATACCCTTTGAAAAAACTTATCCTTAGTCATACAGCACGGTAGTGCACAACAGCAAAGTAATTACATACGTAGAAATCTATTTTACGATTCTTGGCGTATGAACAAGAATAAATTAAGAATTATTCTTACACAACTAGAATCATTTAAAATAGATTTAAAATAAAATAACGAAATATTTAATAATACAAACGAACTACTTGAACCTCTTTCGCAATGTAGAAAAGAGGACAGCACTGTGTTTTTATTACCAAAATCAACGAAGTGTAAAATTATATGCTTACCTTATAAATCAATCAGATCACTTGTTAGGATGTCGATTAAACTATATAATTTTTGTAAAAGAAAGATTATTAAAAAATTTGTTTTTCGTGTTATAGATACCAATAATTAGAGGATTATTGTACGTCTTGGCCCAAAGTATAGGTGCAATAGCAGGGTCTGGTGTGATAAGGGCGCTGTCCCCCGAAAGTATGGAGAGTGCTCTGGGTGTAGTAAGCTTATCCGAAGGTGTTACACCTGTCCAAGGTTTCGGTATAGAATTCTTCCTTGCGTTCATATTGGTTCTCGTCGTATGCGGTGCATGCGACGCAGCTAAACCACACAGCCAGGGCATGGCGCCTCTTGTAATTGGACTTGCAGTCACGGTCGGCCATATTGTTGGTGTAAGGTTTTCAGTTTCTTATGTTTTCTTAAATTATTGCCATTTAATTACGACACAGTAAACGAGTAAGAAATGCGTTCAGTACAAAGAATATTTCAAGGAATACAAACTTCAAGAAAGCTGAAAATTTTATACAGTATTTACAGTTACAAAAATACGATATACTTAATTTTAATTATTCTGTATACTTAAAGGTATACCTGTTCTACATCTGAAGTATTTCTTATCTGCTTTCAAATGCCTGTTAAAATAACTATTGACATTGAAGAACAAATAAGTACCCTCAATTAAGAGAAAACTATTGAAAATAGAAAATTTGTGAAAGCAATATTCGAAGAGATTATTTTACGTTTCTATTGTAAATATTGATTTGAGATAGTTAACAAATTTATGTTCCAATATTTCCCAAGATATATCTGCATCACGTGCATCTTACCTTTCCTGTTACAAAAGGTACCGAGAACTGGTGCAGGAATGAATCCAGCACGATCATTAGGCAGCGCCGTTGTAATGGGCGCGTTCGATGATCATTGGATTTATTGGATCGGTCCGATTCTCGGTGGAATGGCAGGTGGATTGGTTTACACACATGCAATTGGTCCTGCGAAAGAACCGGAAGGATACGCCACCGTAGCGAGAGGGGAAAAGGAGGTATGCCAAGCTAAAAAAGCAAGTCAACGTTCCTGATTTCAATTATTTCTTAATTATAACTATTAAAATAACGAGAAAATCATTTTGTTCGATTCCATCAGAAAAATAGGCATGTAATAATTGAGATCAGAAATGTCTACATATAGTATATATTCTCGTTGTAGAATCTTTCTATGTTCTCTATACATTCAAAAACATGAAATAACAGATTTTTTTTAAATTTCCAATCATCTCTCTCCCACAGCAGTTCGAGTACATAGACAGCGGACGGGGTGGACTTTAAGAAATGAAGATACAAAGAAAGATTCGAAGACGGGAATACATTTTTTTTTTAATCTGATTTGTTTTGACAAATGTCAGAACGATATAAAATATGCGAAGTGTTATTTTTACAGCTGGAGAGTCTTACCAGCAAGAAGGACGTCAACCCCGCTTGAACTTCCTGCTGTTGTGAATCATCGTATTTAAAGTACTGTCCTCATCCATAATTTTCATTAAAATGAAATTCTCAAGAGGCTTTGAAAATCTAAAAATTAATAACTGTTTTTTCGTAAGAAGAGAAATAAATGTACTAATTGTGCAATTTGATAAGATGAAAAAAATGGCTTATAAACGATTAGATATTTTAATATCAATTGAAAACTGAACTTTACATACATTGTATACATTTTTATACGTTTATTTCACTTACATTAATTAGAAACGTCTATTATTTATGAAGAATACGGAACTATGTTTTGTATAACAATTTATTTAATAATTGAAAAATTAAAAATGAAAGATTAGTTCCTTTAACATAACTGTTATGGTGTCGACATCTCGCGGTGATTCTGTCAAGTATGTTCATGGTAAATTTGTCGATAAATCTGCAGTTGTGAAACGCAATAAAAAATTGCTTACATATACTCTTTTTAACTTTTTTATAGAAATAGTTATATGTATTTACGTATTATTTATTACGAAATCAGTGGAATTTGTTCAATACATTGAATTCTGACTGTTTATTTGCCGGTACAGATCAACCCAGTCTATTTGAAGTTACAATTTTAAGAATTTTTTTATTCTTCTATCATGTCATCAAAATGCAACATGAGCTATTTAATTTTTTAATTCTACAATAGCATGCTTTTAGCATTTAATCTACTTTATACATCCTTGTTGGTGGATCGCTGAAAACTATTCAATACAGCTATTTTGTATCTCATATATTTATGAACTCATAAGATACATATTATTTTTATATATTGTACATCCAAGTACGACGGAAATAATATTATAACGTGTATAATCATGTTTATATAATATTATAATAATATTATATAAAATACAATAATAAAATTGTTATCGAATAAAATGTGTGTTACATCCTATTATACGGATAAAATAAAATGCAAATGTGTTACACGGATGTGTATTATTGGTGTACATTATTTGTACTAGATTTTGCGGAAGAGGTTATCCTGGAAAATAAGCAACACTTAATTTTACATTTACACACCATTGTCTGTATTTGATACATAGCTTTAAATGTTTATAGAATATCGAATAATCTATGTACCATTTTCACACTAATCTCGTACAATTATCATTAAGAGTTACAGTAAGTTTCGTTCCTTAAAGTACCTTTGTGTTCCCAATAATGGAGCCAGTTGTGAATAATAACGAGGCAAAATGTAATTTCATAGTTATATTAAACAAGTCAATGTTTGAAAATATTCAAAAATAAAAGAATGTTCGAAGTGATGTAAAATTCCGGTATATATACAAATGTCTTACGTCCGGTATTGATATATACGTATACCAAACAATAAGTTAGGTACCTAAAACAAGTGCCTAGATTTATAAATTTTTTTAGTTCAATTTTTAATAGTCTTACGTCATATACTGACGTAACATGAATAACAAATTTCTTGTTGTATCTGAAAATCGTTAATCAACTGCTTATTTGTGAAATAACAGTTTCTTATATGATAATGTTGATTGATAGGCACTACCCTCGTATTTTCATATCTGTTTGATGTTATTGGTAATTAATATGCAGACGCAATTCTACAACTGTCACACGGGAAAAACGAAAGATAAATACAGAAGTTTAGATACAATGTGATAATAAGACATGAACTGTCTTGAATTCATGCGACTGCTTAAAAGATCTAATGACAAAATAATCAAAGTGTTTATCTATGTATATCCATCTAAAATGCGTTGAGATCGCGTTCTGAATTTATGAAACTGTAATTAAAATGTCACACTGATCAAATCAGAGTTTGTATATTTTAAATCAACGATCTAATCAAAAGCAACATTCGCAAATGTTTAACAACATTCAACAAATTCAACCTTCCATTTGTTGAAGTTTATCTTCAAGGCTATCTTGACTGTCATTAGTATCATTTAAGCTTATTGTATGAGTCTCGTGACCAAGTTCTATCACAGAATCTCCCAATTGATTTTTTTGAACTTCTAACACATTGTCTGAGGGTTCAAAAATATCTGTGGATTCCGAAAGATCTTGTTCATCTAAAGTTAAATTCGTGTTTTGCTCGGGTTGTTCTGTTGTAACTGTTTCTTCAATAACAGGTTCCATTTTTACATCTGATTCTGGCGAATCCTCTATTACCTCCAATGAAGCAGAACTTTCTAGTTTAATAATTACATCTTGTTCTTGAGAATCAGTTCCAATTATATCTTTTTTCTCTACTGTGTCATTATTTTCGTTGGAAGAACCAGGCTTTGGTTTGTCATTGTAATTTTTTGCAGGAGTTTCTGGAACAGTGGATATTTGAGAGAGATTGCTTAAAACTGTTTCTTGCATCTTCACTACAGAATCGGACGAATCTAATATACTACATAATTCTCGACTCATCTCTTCCACTTCTGATTCTTCTTCTGTTTTCACAACAATAATTTTCTTATTTCCATAAACTTTAGAACTAGTTATCAACGGCTTTTTACCGCTCATTGTAGATGTTTTCGGAGTAACTATAGATATTTTCGGGGTAACTGTAAATTCTTTCTGTACATTTTCTACCTGCTTTAATTCAATTTCAATTTTTTCTTTTTCTGGTTCAACTTGTTGATCTTCTTTTTTTAATGTCACTGGAGTTGTAGCTGCGGGTGTTGTTATGAACGATGTCGTCATAGGCGTTGTTGTTACGGGCGTTGTGGTTGTCACATCATTGTCATTATATTCTTGTTCTTCATCATACATACTTTGCTTTTTCTTCACAAATACTCTTTTTAGTGGTAGTTGTTGTTCATCTTCAGATTCATCATGACGTTCTGGTGACATTTCTTCCATAGGTTCATATTCTTGTTGTTTACGTGCTTCTAATTCTTCAATTTTCAAGCGTTGTTGCTCTACTCTCTTTTCCAACTGTTCTAATTTCTCTTTAGTTTCCCGATCACCCCCTGTTAATGCAGGTTTCTTAACCGTTGCTGCAGTCGCTTTTGGGGTTGACGATGGTGTACTTGTGGGCTGAGATGTTTTTAACTCAAATTTTGGAGGTTCACTTACTACAGAATCAGTATTCTTTATTGCGTTTGGTAATGGTCGTTGATCAGTGGATGATTGCAAAACTGCTTGAACAATACCTGAATGTTTGTCAAGAGACTTTTTGACAACAACCCTCTTCACAACATTACCAGTTGGTAATTTTGCCAGTTCTGCTGGATCTATTAATGTACCATCAGGATTCATAATAACTTCTCTCGTAGTATCTCCTTGTCGAATAATTCTGCGAACAATTACTCGTTTTGTAACCTTGTGACCTGAACTAGTCAACTCCGAAGTAATCCCTGATACTTCTCCATCTTTTGTTGTAGATGCACTTATTGGAATTTCAGTAGCCCCGCTGGGTTTTCTCACAACGATTCTCTTTATCACCTTTATAGTACTAACAGCTTTTGGTGTACCACTGACTGCAGCAGGAGTTTCAGACTTCTCATCTTTTGGAACAATTTGATTTTGTGGATTACTCTGTCCTGGTGGTCTGGATTGATTTGTAGATGTAGGTGACTCTTTACCTTGTTCTTGAGCAACATTTTGATGTTTCAAAGGAATCTTATGTTCTTTAAATACAGACGCGACAATTTTTTGAACTTGTGCTTCTGTTTCATCTACACGAGAAGTCTTTGCAGGTTCCTCAGTCGGTTTAGATTGTGAACTCTTTACAACCTGTTGAGACTGACTGCTATTTGGACTCTGCTTGACTTTTGGATCTTGTACTTCTCTACGTTGAATAGGCATCAACGTTTTAATTGTCTTTTTAATCATATTTCCATCTTTACGTCGTAGATATACTACTTGTTCTTTTTGGTTTTCTTCTTTTATTGTCCTTTCTGTTTCTTCTTCGCTTTCTGATCGGTCAGGTTTTGGTTTTGGAAGTTTCTTTACGATATATGCTGGTGGTTCATAATCATCATCCCCGTCTGTATATTGTTCTTCCTCTTCCTCTTCATCAGACTCTATATCAAGTTTAGTTTTAGTGTCTGGTTGTAATCCATCCGGTCCCATTTTTTCACCTGCTTCAATATGTTGTTTTATATGAGTAACATAATCGGCCCTATTTCGGCAAGATTCCTGGCAAACATCACAAGTCAACCCCATACCTGTGCGTTTTGTATGCGTTAGCTGATGTACCTCCAAGCTCTCTTTACGTTTGAATGCTTTACCGCAATCTTCGCAAACGTGACGCTTTTCTACAGAATGGGTACGCATGTGTCTAGTTAGATGATGAGATAGTAAGAATGAACGAGGGCAAAGTTTGCACAAGTATGGTCTGTGTCCAGCATGAGTTGGTAAGTGACGAGCTAATTTTGTACTTGTATGGAATGCTTCCTTACAGTACTCACAAACAAAGGTCTTGTCTTCATTGTGAAGCACCTCATGCCGTTCTAACCCTTGTTTATAGGTAAAACGTTTGTTGCAAATGTTACACTGAAAAGGTTTCTCTTTTTTGTGCACGGCATCTTCATGTTTCTCTAATTCTTCGGTTGTAAAGAATTCACGGTCACAATGCTGACAGCCGTATCGTAATTCATCTCTATGAACTTTCTCATGACGTTGCAATAAGGTTGCTCTGGAAAATTGTTTGTTACAGATTGGGCAAGAGAAAGGTTTATCTTCCGAATGTGTTGTCATGTGTTTCCCTAGATCATATTTGGAGAAAAACATACGATCACAGTCTGTACATTTATAATTACGATCTCTATGAGCTCTTTGTATATGGAGAGCAAGTGCTTGACGCAAAGGAAAAGTACGATCACACTGATCGCATGCATGTACTCTTATCTCACCTGGTTCTAATTTCCGTTCTTCTTTAACATTGTTTGTGTCTTGATCACCTTCACTACCTGCATCTTGTCCTTCTTCATAAAAGTCACGTTCCTCGTCTTTTTCTCTTTGTTTTTCTGCCTGCCTCTCTCTTTCTCTTTCTCTATCCCTCTCCCTTTCCCTTTCCCTATCGCGATCTTTAACGCTGTTCTAATGGTCGTTTGTTATTTATTTCAGGGGGGTCGTTAGGAATTGGTGGAAATGGTCTTGGTAATACACCAGACAATGGGTACGCTCTGAGTGCTTCATCTGCTTTTTTGCACTGAAGTTTAAACTTGTAAGAACGATCTAGATTCCAGCGACACATACCACATATCATCTGCGGCATTCCATCTGCTGCATACACCTTGAACATAATAGATTAAATTACAAATTCAATTTTTGTTCCTGTTTAAATATCAATCAGGAAACATAATCCAATATAGAAATTAAGAAAAAGCTGTATAAAAATTCATTTTATTGTTTTCATCAAGTACATTTGACTTCACAAATTCATAAAAATAAATCAATTTTATTACAAATGATAATAATGAGTAAAACTCAATGAAGCAATAGATTTTACAAAGATTAAAAAAGTACCCATTTTGTTAATGATTCATAAGAAACAGATAAATAAGTGAATAAATAAATGTCGATAACAAAAATATATTTCCAAATATGTCTGTAAAAGACTTCATGTTTTACCATCACAGAGTTCAAACAAAGTTACCCATGATGCACGATTCAATCATATTCCACGTATCAAACTAAGAAATGCATATTTAAGTTATGTTATTCACAATCACGTACCATTAAGTGTGTATATTGTAATAATTTATTCATTTCATCGATGTGCGGAAATTTTGTAGTGTTCGAAATTCAACGGGAAGTCGTGTGTTAAAGCACATGACTCGACCGGTAAATATAATACCTGCATTGCCCAAAGTGTTTGCTGTCTATTGGCACAGTATGCATCTAATTCGATAAAATGTATCGATAATGAAAGGAACAGACGAAAGCGGATATCATCGACACAAAAAAGTAACAGGTGTATGGAAGTACGGTTGGCACAGAAAAACGTGATATTTTGAGAAATATGGTATGAAAGGTGGCCAGAGAATGGGTCGCTGGCGGTCGATGCCATCTTAAAAGAAAATAATTACCTCGATGGCGACGCACGACATGATCTGTAGAGTAAGCGGCACTTGAAACGGCTTACTGTGGTCCCTTTCATAAATGTAGCTAAGCGGTTCCGATTCTGTCAGACAAAACCGACAGACTCGTCTGGAACGAAGCGGCGCCGGCCTGTTCTCCATGTTTTCCTGCCTACCGTCCGTACAGCACCCACGAAGACACGCACTCACGCGTCTCACGTCGTTCTTCCCTTGGCTCCACTCGATCGGAGTATATTTGCACTTTTAACACACTGAGAGGACAATCGTGATAGGAATATATCGTCCATTAATCAGATTTTGATGAAACGACGCCGAGCGTCGGTAAGCGTCGCGTCACGGACGACGGAACAAGCGGGACGAAGTATACACCGCTATGGCGCTATTATGGCGCTACGAAAACCCGTTTCCTCTGCGTGGCGTCTTTCGGGTGTCGAGAACCGTGAAGCTTCGGCCTTTGTACATCAGCGCCACCGTTCACTTTGTTCTTCCTGGAGCGTGTTACTCCGTTGGTACAACAGTAGGTTCGGTTTGATTAAAGAATTACTGCGTCGGTATTATAGAGTTTTTAAAAATAACTGTTTCATCCGGGAATAAAATATTCTCTTGTCCTTATCATCTACATTAAATTTTATACTTTAATATCTGCATGTTTTTTTAATTTTTTGTACGAATAATTTTAATATTGCCATTTGAAAGTGATCAAACTGCACATGTGCAATCACAGACGTGATATAAGAATAGACCTACATGCAATGTAATTTCCTGTCCTATGCTTCAGGGGCGTCAGAAGCCCCCGTACCATTTCAGTATTCGATTCCTTGCTACCCAATCGGGGCAATAATGTATGTATGGATCATTATATACAGTCACGGGTGCATATGTGTGTGCTTTGCGGAAACTTTTATGTGGAATGCGCTCGAACCAGCATGATTTTCGTGGGACACTAAGTCCCATAAGGTTAGGTCTATTTTTATATCTCGCCTGTGGTACAATTATAAATAATTTGAGTCTCCTAAAACTCAAACTTACCTTTATGCTTAATTTACGTTTTTTAGGAAACGTTCGTTTAATATAATTCATCATGTAATATGTATTTGCTAGATCCAATTTTCTCTATTTATTATTTCGTGGTATTAATTAATTTGACTTCTCAGAGATTACATCTAATGAAAATACTAGTTTTTACATACTAAAATTTAACTACAATATTTGTTTACACATCTTAACGTGTTAATATAAAATTTTATATTGTTCAATATGTTGATGTTTGGTATGTTACTTTCTTTTTAAACATCTATGTACATAGGTATAACGAAAACTGTAATGCGAGTACGCTTGAAGGGCCCAATGCAATAAGGGGACAATGCTTGAAAATGCAAAAAATATTGTCCAAACGGTAAGGAAGATTGGAAAATTAAATGTTGTTAAACTGATTTTAAAAAATGTAGTGTTATAAAGCTCGCCACGATACACATTTTTTCTCTTTACAGTTCTTTCATGCAATCATTACTATTCGAGACAATAATTATAAACAAAAAATTATTCTTCGTTCAAAGCCAATATTTTTTTAAACATAAATTGTAATAACCTGACTAAATATCAACGGAACGTTATGAGACTTAAAATATAACTTCAGAAAACTCTAGCGAAGCCGTAAAGTGTATGCACAAGGCCCTTGTATTAAAAAATATAATAATATTTCATTGAATAAAAATGAATGAAAATTTGTGAAAATCTTTCATGTATTTTAAGGAAAAACTTTTTCGCTGCAAGTTATATGTACCTCACAATTACCTCCACACTTTTTATCGGAAAATCTTGAAAAACATGATCACTTTGCAATAAAATATTATTACATTTTTTTACATAAGAGTCTTGTGCGTATACTTTACGGCTTCATTAGTTTTCTGAAGTTATGTTTTAAGTCTCATAACGATTCGTTGATATTTCACTCAAGCGAACAATTCATTGTTTATAATTTTTATCTCGAATAGTAATGGTTGTATGGAAAAACTGTAAATAGAAAAAATGTGTATCGTGGTGAAGTTTACAACACCATATTTTTTAAAATCCAGTTTAATATTTAATTTTTCAATCCTTTTTAGTGTTTGGACAATATTTTTTGCATTTTCGAGCACCAGTCTTTTTATTGCATGCGGCCCTTCAATTGAAGTATGATACATGATCGCTCGAAAAGACGTGCAACGATATCTCGATGGTACTTTATCACTAATACACAAATCTTGGTTACTCAATATTTTTATACGAGGAATATTTTTCTTTTAATTTTCATACGTCGGAATTTGTAATGAGTTGCGTTCTTAACTGGAAAATATTGCGATATTTTGGTAAGCGGAGGCAACAGCGTGTTACCGGTAATCTAGAATCTCTTCGCCGGGATATCGAAACAGATGTTCACCTCCGTACAGCTCAAGATTTATTGCAAAGTCTACAAAGTGACGCGAAGCACGGTTTATCGACAACTGTTGCACGCGATCTTTTAAAAAAGAATGGATTGAACGCGCTCACACCTCCAAGAAGGACTTCTAACACATTAAAATTCTTACGTCGATGTTTCGGAGGCTTCTCTTTGTTAATCTGGGTATATAATGTGTCAATATGTAAATATAATATAAAGTATTGTATCGAACGTAGTGCAAAGTATAATATATATACAGAAAAAATATCGGTGTAGAATTAATTGAACGAAAATTTATTTGTTATTGTGTTAATATTTTCTTCCTTCCGAATATACACGGGGTAAGTCAAAGTTCATGATAGGAATAATTCTACTGATGCAAATAAACCAGAAGGATATAATATGTTTTCTTTAATGACGAAACATTATTCGAAAAATAACTACCTATTTTATAATTTCTTTTGTGATATACACTCACATCTTCCGCAGTTTTATCGTGAACTTTAGACCGTCTCATATATTAAAAGTAAAAACCTTTTAATGGGAGTATGTTTTCTTTTATTTCTTTCGAATATTTAGAAAAACCGTATTGGTTCTTTCAAACAGAGTTGCAGATTACTTTTATTTATATGGATAATTAATATTTTGTGTTACAGTTTTCGTATGCATGCAGAGATATAAATAATTTGCAATGAATTTAACATCGTGAAATTAGTTACTTTATTACTATCTTTTTAGTTGAATTGCCATCTAAATTACTGATACTGTAAAATGTAACTACTTAAAATAATAATTCAAACACTTTCAAATATTTTCAAAAGCTTTTATAAATACAGCGCTGAAAATATTTATTACATCAATCTCAAATTTACGCAGTACTCACAATTTTTGTAGCAATATGATTGATAAAATGATTCGCATCCAACTTATATATTTTTGAAATCAATATTTGTTTTAATTAATTTTCTTAGTACTAACAATAAGAGAGATATATGAGGTATGAAAGGTACATGTATGAAGTGATAGCGCGTTTAATATTCGAGTGATGCAATAAATATTTTCAATACTGTATGTATGTTGTCGATGCAATCGTTAATTAATGTTTCTTAATACTTGTCAATCTTTAGGTGGGAGTCGTGTTATGCTTTTGCAATTATATTCTGGAACATGAGATTTACGGTGAAGCTTCCAACGATCACTTGGGCCTTGGCATCGTGCTCGTAGCTCTGATTATAATTACAGGGATATTTAGTCACTATCAGGAATCGAAAAGTTCACGTATTATGGAGTCGTTTCAACAAATGATACCGCAAAGGGCGACAGTCCTCAGGGACGGCGAGAAGAAGGAACTGTCTGTAGCCGAATTGGTGGTCGGGGACATTGTCCTTTTGGAAACCGGCGACCGCGTACCCGCTGACATTAGGATCCTGGAATGTCAAGGTAAATTCGTATCGCAGTAGTTGCAGACTTAACTTTCTTATTTGTCCAGAAAAAAGTCCTCGCCTTTCTCTTCGTCGACGCTCGAGATATCGCATTGATTCTGTGTTTTACGTTATACCGTTTACGGAACCGTGAACTACACGCGTAATGAGTTATTTAAATCGATTGATTCCTGATCGATCATATTCTACGCTTTGTTCATAAAATCGATCGAAATTGACCAATAAAATGACTGCTACCTAATATTTTCATATACAGTAGAACTCCATTTACCTATCCGAACCCCATTTATTGGAACGAAATTTTAGTTAGTGATCGATTTATTAAACTCCTGCTGAGCTCCTATTATCTAAACTACCGCTGACCGTTGCTACTGTTATATGCACATCTGCAACAACTAAATAGTAGATCATGGTATTAAACAAATAACAATCATGATTTATTAGTTTACTATTACAATTAATTCACTAGGCATTACAAAATTATTGTTCCCGCAAATTTATTTCCAAATTTGCAAGGTTTAAAACATTACATTTGTGATCACAAATTATGATTGATTTCATTTATTTGAAATGTGAACTCTGATTATTTGAACGAATGGTAGTGAAGAAAATCAGTGAATTATTATTGTATGAAGTATTTTGTCGCCTCATGGGTTCAGATAAACGGAGTTCTACTATATTTATATATACTCATTTGGTAATTGATTTCGAGCGTTCTTGACAAGATTCGTATCCACCACAAAGGTCTCAAAGTCGACAATGCTTCGATCACCGGCGAGTCCACTCCGCTCCTGAGAACAGCGAACGTTAACACGACGAGCAGCATTATCGAGGCTAAGAACATGATTTTCTTCTCGACCAATATAGTGGAAGGTCTGACGAAACACACAAAGTTCCTGCTCGTTTCTTAAGCGTTTCTTACAGTTTCGAAAGCCTTTCCTGCAACGTTTCTCAAAGTCTTGTTTTAATGAACAACAGGCACCGGAAAAGGTATCGTAGTCGCTTGCGGTGACAACACGGTGATGGGCAGAGTTGCCAAACTAACGTCGAAATTGACATCGCGGCCGACGCCGCTCTCCCGGGAAATTCATCGGTTCATGAAATTGATCTCGTCTTGGGCAATCTTTCTTGGACTCCTATTCTTCACGCTGTCCGTGGCGATGGACTACAGCTGGGTGGACTCGATAGTGTTTCTGATCGGTATTATAGTCGCGAACGTGCCGGAAGGCTTGATAGCCACCATGACCGTCAGTCTTACCCTGACGGCGAAAAGAATGGCGAACAAACATTGTTTGGTGAAGCATCTCGAGGCTATCGAGACGCTAGGATGCTCCGCCGTTATTTGCAGCGACAAAACAGGAACGCTCACGCAAAATAAGATGACCGTAAGCTCGGTTTCGCCATTGGCGTACACTTTTTATTTAGGTATGTTATTTATGTAGACGCGTACACTTGCTGACAAAAGTTAAGAAACACAGCGATCGATCTGCTTTTAAGATGTCGAACTGTTCGATTTCGTGAAATGAGAAGTAAAGAAAATCGGTCATGTTGAACATTGTTTGTCAAGTTCCAGATCGAGATGTACGAACAAAATAGTTAATTAAATGGTAACTTATGTAAATGATAAAATGCATGAAAATGAGCTTATCAAAACTACTAAAATTGAGAAGTAAACAAAAGGTGTAGTTCACCTGTTTGGCTACAGGAGGGAGAGGGCTGTTCATAAATTTCCTGCAGGTATTTTAGGAACACTCTAGTTTCGGCTGCTATGAATATGCAAAGAAGCAATCTAAATCTCATATAAAAGCATGAAAAATAAATGTAAATGGGATATTTTGAAACAAATCTTGAGAAGTATTTTGCGAATTGTATACATTTTATTATGTAATAATGATAAGCAAATTACAGAAACACGGCTTTTCTATGGTTTTATTCGAATTTTGCGCACATACCTGATTCATTTAAAGTACATGTATAAAGAAAATCAATAATCATTTTATTTTGTTTGTAGAATGAACAAAAGGAACATTTGCTTTTTGTATTTTGTACTATGAATTCTACAAAATTTATGGTGTCGCGTGTTCTTGAATATAATCCACTAATTTTTCTGTTTACATATCACTTTCTGTTTCTACTGGTAATAAATATAGACGTGTTGAAATATTCAATTAATGCGGGAAACGAATACTACCATACACCAACACGAACGGATGTAGTCATTAACAAACAAATTTTTGGATTTGGTTTTTTCAAAAATGAAGTACTACAAATAATGTTATTGTACATACATTCCTTAACAGCGTTTGTACAGAGAATCATAATATTGTCAAATGTAGGTCAGACATCATGGGACAATGAATAAATAACATATATTAATAATTGTTGTGTTTCATAATATTTATCAGTAAATGTGAAGGAAAATCCATCACATTTCATGTTCGTATAACGTTCTTAATTAATTATATATTCACGTTATCGTATCTAAACATTTTTAACCCTTAACTACAGAAGACTCGTCTCAAAGATAAATAAACCGACAACAACTACTTCGTAACACATTCAATAACCAACTGAATGTTATTTATCTTTACCATTTTGAAATAGTGTGTCACTTACTGTCAATTGAAGGTACTCAAATCCTAAAGCTTTCAAAATGCTTTACTAGGTTCTAATAATGAAAGAAACATTCAAATTTATTTCCGAGACGAGTGGTCTGTAGTTGAGGGTTGTTATGTATAGTCATGAAGTGTAACTCGTCGTCTCAGGTTCGACATATGTGGTACGACGGTCAATTGCGAGAAGTAATGGCCTCAGACACCTGGAAGAAATATATTAGCAAGCCTGGATTTCATAATTTATCCAGGGTGGCTAGTCTCTGCAACCGAGCCGAATGGGCACCATTACCCGAAGACATACCCAAACCACCTTTGCACAAAAGGAAAATCTTGGGGGATGCTTCTGACGCAGCTCTGTTGAAGTCTATGGAAGTTCTAGTGAAAGGAGGTGTAGATACTTACAGAAAAATCTATATAAAGGTGTTAACATATGTTTGCCTGTCAAACAAAATCTCTGTGATAAGGATAACAAAAAATTTACCTCTTTCAAAATTAGGTGTTCGAAATACCATTCAATTCGACGGATAAATTTCAGGCGAATGTCCACATATACGGCAAGAAGCATTTTGTCTTTTTCAAGGGCGCGCCGGAAAGAGTTCTCGAACGATGCTCGACGGTCGCGTTCGGTAACGAGACTAGACCACTTGACGACGAAATCAAGAAAGCTTATACGGAATCTTGTTATGTTCTCGCGAACAATGGCGAACGTGTACTTGGATTTGCTGATCTCGATCTCTCGGCCTCTGCCTACCCGCCGCGTTTCATTTTCAAAGGGGATCCACCAAACTTTCCTCTTCAGAACTTGAGACTAGTAATTTCGTTTGTACGAGGTAAAAGCGTGGCGATGTAATTTTTTACAATTTCTTATCACTTGCAAGCATACAGTAAGAGTCAAAACTAAGTATATACCTTAGAAAGGTGAAGTTCGTGTAATACTTCTATAGCATCCTACTGACAATAAGATCGAGGTAGTGAAACAGCTGGATATGTTGTTGTTGGCATTTGTTAGATAAAAGGCAAAAAATTTGGAGAAAAAGAAATTTGGAGCTATAACCACATAATTTTGTAAATATTGTTAAACATGGTGAACGTGTTATAGTTGGTTTGGGAGAGCATAACAGTCTCTGATGAAGGACAATTGGCTTTTATTGATAATCTTATGTCAATATTTAGATATTTTAAAATCAAATTCAGCTGTAAGTGTAACATAAAAATACGATTGTCATATTCATGGGTCTTGCAGCAAAATCATGACCCAAAATATACAATGAAGGTGGTTAAAAATTGATTGCTGGAAAACACTTCCAATCAGTTAAATTCTCTTCCACAGTCAGCAGATTTCAATGTAATAGAGTATAGAGCATCTGTGGTATTAGATTCTAAATTGAGAAAAATAAATATTACGAAGAAATAGCTTAAATTGCAGTTAATAAAAGCATGGAATGATATTTTCGTTAACGCAACACGAAACTTGGTTGCATTTATGCGAAAACTATCAACTGTCTTAATTAAAGCTGAAAGCGGATTGACATTAAACGTATGTAGGTATCTCCATAAATTAAGAAAGAAATTATTCTTAATTACTCATTTATACTCACTTCTGCCTCATTTTTTAACAGGTGTGCAACTGTTTTATATCATATACTTATAATACATATTTGCTATATGACACATGTTTTCTACTGTTAGTTTATACGTATTTTTATGTATTTATATACTTTGTATTTTTCGTATCAGTTTCCAATTTTTGCAACATGTGTGTAAAAATTGTTGAATAATTTCCGTGCTTTCGAAGTGTCTACTCACTTTTGATTCTCACTCTATACATATGTATACAGTAATTGATATCCTTCGCTTTGGAAAATTGAAAGACGTCCCAGAGCGTGTTTTTCTATTCACGAATGCAAGATCTATAGATAAACGTTACTCGATATGATGATATTTTTATCGTTCTTTAATAATAATTTGAGATATATCAGGTATACCAATGAGCAATTCATGATTTCTTTTTAATACACTGATAACATAGTTTAAATACGTAACATATTCCCGTCCTTTCTTCTTTAGCACTAAAACTACACACGATAAACTTATCTATTTCTATCAGATCGATAAACATGACAAACTTTTGAAAATACACAAACTTATAAATTAACTAATTCCTTCACTTACATATTCCAATAAAAGTTGTAAAAGTACTGAGAAAATGCATCGTTCTAATATTTTAATCATCTTTATAAGAGTATACTAATCAGTCGTTTTAACTGCTTTGGTAGTTCCAGTGCTAAATATGACGACGAGCCTCAAAGTAGGAGAACAAATATCATTAAAACGACATAGTCTACTGATTTCTTCGGAAATAAATATTGAATCTGAATAAAAGTGCATTACTCGTTGGTACATCTAATATTATTGCGTAAGAGATAATTAAGAACAGTTATTATTCGATATTCTGTTTTGTTAGATCGGATTGATCTCGATGATGGATCCCCCGAGGCCAACAGTACCAGACGCAGTGTACAAGTGTCGCTGCGCCGGAATCAAGGTGATCATGGTTACTGGCGATCACCCTGACACGGCTAGAGCGATCGCGAAATACGTCGGCATTATCACCGATGACATTTCCCAAAATGATAACGATCGAATGGAACGATCGATCGTGGTGACGGGGCAAGAGCTGCGGGATCTTCAGCCGGAAGAACTCGACGGAATGATAAGAAGCTATACCGAGATCGTTTTTGCGAGAACGTCACCTGTGCAGAAGCTTCAGATCGTCGAGAGCTGTCAACGATTGCATCTGATCACGGCGGTAACTGGCGACGGAGTTAACGACTCGCCGGCATTGAAGAAGGCCGATATTGGAATCGCCATGGGCATTGCAGGTACTTTTTAAAACAAGATAGAATCAATGCCGAGGAAACTGTGAAGAATTTTAGAACGCTGTTCCTATTTAAAATTCCTTTAATAATTAATGGTGTTAGTAGAATGAAAGTTACCGTAGAGCATATCTTTATGATCCTTCTCTCCATCTGAATCTTAATTCGATTAAATCACGAATATCTTTTAATACCACATTTTCAAGCGAGTTTTCAATTTCCGTCGAAGATGGTTGATGATTAAGTTTTATTTATCCAATACTCTCCATCTTTAGTAAATTTAACAAGTAAACTTAAGAAATTTTATTATTACTATATTGTTTAGTTAGTATTGATTAAATCTTTCCTATCGGTGGTAGAACTCACTTTTTATTACTACGACGGACAAGTATGTCTAACGTTTTGGCTCACACTCAAAGCACTTTTTAGAAAGACATTGTGTAACGCTACACTTTTAGCAAAAGATCATTAGGTTCCCTTCCGTTAGGCCTCGTTATGTAAACACCTTTCTCTTGTTTAAAGTATAACATAATTCAAATATGCATTGTGTATTATCTAATTTATTATAACTGGAAAGGGTTTTTTGTAAATAATATACTTATCCTATCAGTCCTATGAACGGAGTTAAACATATTTCACTGAATTTCTGTACTTGAATTTTTATTAACGTTAGGATCAGACGTGAGCAGAGAAGTCGCAGATCTAATTTTGTTAAACGACGATTTTGCCTCGATAATCACGGGGATCGAAGAAGGACGAAGACTGTTCGACAATTTGAAATCAAGTATCGCGTACACATTGGCCAGTAACGTTCCAGAGATAACACCCTTCCTGGCGTTCATCGTTCTTGGGATTCCTTTGCCTGTAGGCGTAATTTGCGTGTTGTGCATAGATCTAGGTACAGACATGTGGCCGGCTGTCTCTCTGGCATACGAGAAGTCCGAATCAGGCATCATGTTCAGGTATCAATGAAGCAGTATAAAGAATCGTTGAAACATCATTAAAAAATTATGTAACAGTTTCATAAATTCATGTGTTAATTTCATAATTAGTCATTACGGAACCTTATCGAACTGAAATTAAAACGGCAGTGTTCCGTAAAATGATGACTCTCTTCATCATCATATATCCAAATAGTTTACTTTCAAAGAGATGTACTGTTCACAATAATTACATAAACTCTGGAAATGTCTGATAATTCTTCTTCAAGATGATGGAAAGAAAGACGGTCGAAAAATTGGGCTTCACGAGTAATAAGTTTACACACTTTGGTCTCAAAACATCTCACAGTTTAATTATCACCATATTCGTATAATTCAATTACCCGAAGCTAGTTCCTGTTACCCAAACAGGAAATGAAGACAAAAAAAAACGACAAGCTAAAATCATTTTGACATTCTCAGGGCTTCGACTACTTTTTTCCGCCATTTTGAAAAAGAATTATGTACTAGAACTATTTCTAGGGTTTGTATAATTACCACGAACAATATATCACCTCGAAAGGGAACTACTTTCAATAATTGTTGATAAAAATCTAGTAAATATCATAGGAAAAATTGTTGTTCTAACTTCGATTCGGAAACTTTTTGGACAAACCGTGTACGTTAGAATCGCATTTTAGGAAGCCCAGAGTGCCTCACGTAGATCGTCTCGTCAGTCGTCGATTACTTTTCATGGCTTACGGGCAGATCGGTATAATCGAAGCCTGCGCCGGCTTCTTCACGTATTTCGTCGTAATGGCGGAGCACGGGTTCCTACCTGGTAAACTGCTGGATCTGCGATCGTTGTGGGACAGCGTCGTCGTGAACGATCTGCAGGACAGTTTCGGCCAAGAATGGACGTACGAGCAACGGAAAATTCTCGAGTACACCTGCCACACCGCTTTCTTCGTCAGCATAGTGATCGTGCAAGCGGCGGACGTAATGATCTGCAAAACCCGCCGAAACTCACTTTTCTATCAGGGCATGCGTAACTGGGTCCTCAACTTCGGGATAGTTTTCGAGGTAATAGTGGCCTGCATTGTTTGTTACGCGCCGTACATGGACGAGATACTGAGGACTTATCCACTGAATTTGGTGTGGTGGTTACCGGGTGTACCGTACGCTATAATCATAGTGATCTACGACGAACTGAGGAAGTTGTGGATCAGGAGACATCCAGGAGGATGGTGGGACAGAGAAACTTGTTACTAAATTCTTCGACGAAACATCAATCTAGAGAAGTATTGTTACACACGAAATTGCTACTTGAAGAACAGTCTTCGAAGACGATTAGTGGAGGATCATCTGAGAACTTGATACTAAATGCGCAGTTTTATTCTTCGACGCGAATTGCTGTTATAACATCTACGATAGAGAATATTATGAATACCAAAGTATACGACAGAATGACATTATTCGTGAAATTTCTATCAGTTCTTGTAGTACATTTAAAAAGTGTATGGAATGTCGATCTTCATGCTCGGTGTAAATACAGTTAACTCGATGCATCTTTAACGGATCGTTCGTCCGACGCGAGTATGCAGAAGAGCAATGGTTCTCCTATACTCCTATGGTTCTACACGGTTCTCGAGTGTTGTAACCTCGCCGATGGAATAGTGGGGGATGCATATAAGACTCTGGGACCCTCTCGATGGGGCCCAGTAGTCTCTAGTCATCAATTCCTTCACGTTCGAAGAACCGTGGACTCAATCCCGAGATAAAGATCAGGCTTCATTTTCTTTCCAGTTACTCCCAACCTCCGTCAGGATGAAGACGGAGGTTTTTTGTCTGCTAATCTGTCTCGGTGAGTAATTTTCATGATTACTTAACACTTGCCCGGAGCAATTAACTTTTCGATACTTTTCACAAATGCACCTTACTTTCGACAATCGAGAAAAGTAAAATGTGTCGGCGTATTAGCTGCCGAGAATGTACAATGAATTCCGCGAGGTAAAAGTGGCACGATGAACAAGAATATGACCTTTAGCCGACGTATTGTTTTACCGTTCATTGTAACGATGAAGGCTTAACTACTATTTCAATTGTTACCGTCGTTCGTGCTATCATGGTTACTTCATCGTTAGCTTTATTTTTAGCTTTCTTTTTTATACGTGCGTAGATTTGGAAAATTTGTCCGTAGTAACAGGACGTGAGAATGTATATACAATATGGATATTATATAGTGCGAGTTTATGTATAAATTGTTCGAGCTGTTTTTAAATAGAATTTTAATGATTCATTTATCAACAATCTCCGATGCGTTCTACACAGATCCTGATCCAACCACGAAAGAACTTGCGCCATCGTTTGTTATTGAGAAATCAGTTCGCCTCACGCTCCCATAGAAAGTTTCATTTCCCCAATACACGTGCCGACACATAGCTAGAAAAGCAACTGAAAAATTCGTCAATATTCATTAACTAACCGTCATTTAATTCGAATTACTTTCCAGTAATGAGAGTGTATATGACTTCTGATTGTCGACGACGATTCGATGCACGCAAAAAATTTTCTAATTCCCTATTGTGTATATTTTTTTATTTATTTAACAGCACTTTAATCTGTTGAAAATTGCAGACTCAGTCGTTTTGTACCCGGTTGCGAATTGATTTACGTCGCGCGTAAACCCGTCCAGGGTGTTCAAAAAATGTTATCGAAATCTATATAGAGTCTGTTGGAAAGTTAACAGGTCTGGACGATTAAGCGACATTTAAGTTCTGCCCGACCAGATACACACAGGAGTCAGGGCACTTTCTCGCTTTCTTCCGTTCGCGAGGTCGACCGGCGCGGCGTTTACGTACGACCGGCGTTTTATTCAGGGACGCAAGACGCCGCGCCGCCTTGAAAATACACCGACCAGTTGACCCTCTCTCGCCGTTCACCGTTTTTATTCCATGCTCTTTCTTCTCTCGATTCGTTTGTCATTCGAATACATCCGCGTTGCATCACCACGCCTTCTTACTCGAGAAAAAGTGGATGGATGAGGTGTATTGTGACGCTGAGGCGAAACGAAATTCGTTCTTTAAACAACTGCACCGGAGACAGACTTTTGTTAAGGGGGCAGTCTGGTGTAAACATTTAAAAATGAACGAATTTTTGGGAATTTATCGTGAAGGAAGTATTAAAACAATGTCTTTGAATCTTTGTGAATACTTTATTGTACAGTTAAACTGAATACAAACACTTTTATTTTCGCGACAAATCCATAAATAGTATAGTTATAAGGATGTGCAGCCCGGAAGCAAAAAAGGTGTTCTACGCCTTTTTTTTTCAAATAAAACATGCTAAAAAATATGATTTATTGGAACAATAAAATTATAAATGTAGGTTCATGCTGTGAAGAAGATGTTAAAGAATATGTACATGGAATGCCGGGTTAGTTGGCTGAGTAGTTTTTGAGTTACATTCCCGGGCGCGAAACACCTTTTTTGCTCACGGGCTGCACATAAGTACTTATAACTTGTATAATATTTATGGATTTGTCGTGAAAATAAAATTTTTGTATTCAGTATAATTGTACAATAATATATTCTCAAAGTTTCAAAGAGATTTGTTTAATAATTTTTCACAAGAAATTCCCAAATATTCATTCATTTCTAACCTGTTTACACCAGGCGTCTCCCTTAATAGAGGAGAATTTCAGAGGTAGCATTATATACCGGGTAACACTAGACAATACGCTACACTTTTAAAGAAAATTCAATAAACAAAATATTTTCCGGTAATTCTTTATTTCACGTGTTAAATTATATCAATTTCCATTTCACTTAACAATTACTTACATTGGATTACAATTATGGATTAATCACACACAAATATGTGATTAATCCATAATTGTGATCCAAACGTAACTGAAATGTAGCAGGAAGTAACTATTTCTTTTAAACCTAAAATGAGGCCTTTTGTAACACAGTACTCGGGTAAAATGCCTCACATGTGACAAAACGCTTCTATATAAATAAGCCACTACGTTATGTTATTCTTAATGGAATATTATAAAATTTTAAATAAAATAAGCAAACAATAGAATTTGGAACATGAAATAAAATAGTAAGACGATTTGTCAACCGAGACGTATTCTTTAGTTTAAGTATTTTTAAGTGTTACTTAGTTTCTAGTTTTTAAATTAATGGAAGGACGATTTTTTGTTTCATCCCTTCGTTTGAAAGAAATGCAAAATGGAACGGAATTTGTTCAGAGTGTATTTAAAATTTTATGGATGGCATTCGTACTTTCAGTTTTTGAAAAGTATATATAATTTATTACAAATCGAAGTTATGAATTCTTTTATTTCTTTAGAAAGCTATTCAGTCAACAGTATTGCATTATACGTAGTAGATACCAAGGTGCACTGCTTTATTGTTTCTTATTGTAGGTAATATCCACTATTAACACAAATAAGTATGTTTTATACATATAAAAAATACACACCTCACTTCTTTCAATACATAAAATGCTCTGAGTAATTATAACGAAAACAAGTATTGTATACGTTACGTAAACTAAACCTGTTATTACTTAATATCGAGTACTTCAAACGCTATATTTTAAGTCGTATATGAGTTGTTTACAGGCCAAAGTGACTAACTCCATTTTTTGAGCCTTGCACATTTTAGTACCAATGCACTTGATTGGGGTTTACCCTTTCTTATTTCAAATAAAATTTAAATATAAATGTTGTGGGGTTAATCATTTCGGCACACGAACAGCTCAAATATTTCCATTAATTATAATTTGTGAATTAAGTGATTATTTGCAGTACTGTATATTTTTATCAAGGTTGTTTAAAGCAACAATACATCAGAAACAAAAGATTTACGAACTTCTTTTTTCTGACATAGCATTGATAGAATATTTCTGACAGTTTCAAAACGAAAGATTTTGTTCGTAAATTCACTTTGTACATGGTGGCGACGGTTCAAGTATCGTTGCACTAATTCAGTGACCTTTTTAGGCGCCGTTACCTCCTTATCGAGGAAACAAGAGGCAGCCGAGCAAAGCCGTAGGAAAGTAGCGTCGCCGGGGTTACAAAAGAAGCCGGCTGCACCGCAGGAGCAAGAAGAATACGATGAAGACGAATTTCAGGAACAATGTCCTGAAGCCAACGGTTACTTTCCAGATCTAGAACAGTGCGATAAGTATTATGACTGTAGGGACGGTAAACACACCGAGAAACTATGCCCGGACGGTCTGGTATTCAATGACTTTAGTCCTCAACACGAAAAATGCGATCTCCCCTTCGGAATTGACTGCTCGAAGAGACCAAAACTACGTAAGCATTAGAATATTTGAAATACATCCATTTTATCTCTCGATGACAATTCTGACTTAATCATTTTGAAAACGGAACTAGTTTCGAACAAAATTTTAGAAGCATCATGTTGATTTTATTTCTTCATCAAGGTTCAAAATTCAATTATGTATTACAGAAGCCAAGTGAGGTTCGACAGTATTTTTAACTTGTCTTTCCATACAAAATCATTATTTTCTCGTTTGTGCCAGCTTGTACGAGAATAGACTGTATATTATTGCAAAATGGTGACAAATGAGACATTGTATCAGGACATTTTTAATTCGATTTACGTTCTGTCTCGTATCACCCATTAAAATATTACAAAAGTATATATTTTCCATAAAGTTGCGCTGTGTTAGTCTGTATGTCAATGTCTTGCTATTTCTACTATCTTGAGTCGCCAACGAATGAAAGCGATCGCAAAATTATGCCAACTACTCAGTAAGATTTGTATTCGACAACCAAATGGTGTGCTGTTATTAAAAACTGTGTATACAGGGTGTCTCAAAATAGCTTCGACTTTCGGAAACAGGGGTTTCCTGGGATAAGTCGAAATAACTGTTTCCTTAGCAAAAATGTTATCCGAGGCTTTGTTAACGAGATATTAACGAAAAACCCCGACCAATCAGAGCAACGCACTGCGATCGGAGTTTTACGTTAATATCTTGTTAACAAAGCCTCGGATAATATTTTTGCTAAGGAAAAAGTTATTTCAAATCATCCCAGGAACCTTTCGTTTCCGGGAATCGAAGCTATTTTGGGACACCCTGTATATTCCTGTATTTAATTCTTAATCGGTCACGTGCCGTCTGTGAGAGTGCTTCGACGCTTACCTAACCCTCACACTGTTTTTTGAAAACGTGTGTCTGTTAATGTATGAATAGAAAAGAGTAAATGTTCAAGTTCAATTTATGTCGACTGTTGAAAAATTTTCACAGAATTTCGGTTTTCTACCGGTTCCTAAATATGGCCGGTACGTGGCCGTTTCTGTAAGAAAAATATAGATGTCCTGTTAAGGGTTAATACAGAGTGTCTCAAGGAAGTGTCTACAAACTTTCGGGACTTTTCTTTAACTTACAAAAATTGTATTAAAAAAATATTAATTATATTTAAGTGTGCATAACTTTCGCAAATCAGAGCTCCTTTGTCTGCATTTTTTTCAAAGATATGGATGTTACATTTTCCTCTCAAATGAAACTATAGCGTTTTCTCAATATTTTTGATTAGAACGAATTACGACAAATGCAATGAATATAAATATATTATCAAAAAACATATAACTGTCGTATGAAAAATCAACAGAATTGTGCAACGTCGTGGTATGTCAAGGCGATCGCTTCAGAGACAATTGAAAGCTGAAAGGTATAAATGTACCGCAACGTTGCACAACTTCTATCGACTTTTTACACATTTATGTTTTTCTGATAACATATTTCTACTCGTTTGATTTATCATGACTCGTTCGAATAAAAAAATATTTAGGAAATGCTATAGGTTCATTTAAAAAACGAAAGGCAACATCCATATCTTCGAAAAAAATGCATACATAGGAACTTTGATTTACGAAACTTATGCAAACTTAAATATAATAAAACTTTAGTCTAACACACTTTTTTATAATGTTAAAGGAAAGTCCTGAAAATTCATGGCGATACTTACATAGGATACCCTGTACAAATGAGTTGATTTACAGAGAAACCACGGCCATCGCCTCACTGTCCCCGAATGCACGGTTATTTCGCCCACGAGGATCCCCGGATATGCAGCACGTTCTATTACTGCGTCGAAGGGAAGTTTAACATGATCACTTGTCCAGACGGTCTGGTCTTCTCTGAGAAGACAGGCATTTGCAATTGGCCGGACGAGGCGCAAAAGAAGGGTTGCGGCTCCAGAGAACTATTCAATTTCACCTGTCCAAAAGTGGACGACTCGGTCGCCGCGACGCATCCTCGGTATCCAGACACCGAGGACTGTCAATACTTTTATGTCTGCGTGAACGGCGAGATACCTAGGAGAAGCGGTTGCAAATTGGGACAAGCTTTCGATGAACGCACTGGGAAGTGTGACTGGGCCAGAAAGATACCTGAATGGTAAGCGATTACGGTGTTACATGAATCGGTATTTGGTCGATCGGCATTAGAAAAACGAACAAACGTTGTATGAATATGTTTTCTAACGTTACAGCAAAGACTGGTACAAAGGTCAATTGACCGACGAGGAATTGGATGCATTGGAGAATCCACCACCGAGACGGAAACCGAGCGGTGGTCCGAGCAGAAGAAAAGGCGTGAAACCAACATAGATTTAAGGCTAAATCGATATGTAGATTTTAATACTCATTGACTTATTAAGCGTCGTCTGGAAAATAAAACATTTTTAATACAGTCGCCTTTATTTTCTAACGGATTACGTAATAATTCTGTATTAAGAAAATTTGATATTAAGAGAAAATAAATGATCGCTACTTAATGTAGCGAATACTTTACACACTGGCAGGGTATAGAATCGTACCGACTGTTGCTCAGATCGTTTTTATCGTTCTAATGTAAGTGAAAGTTTTCAGTTGTGCTGGTTGATATTCTTAAATAATATATACGTACTTATATGAAAGCTGGGGTAGGGAATATATGCAAATTTTGGAGAACATTTTGTTCACCTGATTGACAACAAAAACTATTCAGGAACAATTAATTACAATGTTTTATGTATTGGTTCGAATTGTTTTTTTTTTTTTTTATGTTATGCTTTATATTATAATTTTTATCGGTTTTGCAACAAATTAATTTAATTCGTATTTGTAACACCGACATAAGGACACCAATGTTTTCTTCGGTTCAATAATGAATTCAAATCGCGTGTCATTGCGAGAATTTTCCCGTGAGCAGTGAAAGTAATTCAAGTCTGAAAGTTCATCACATTTCACGGGAAACGCTTCCGAAATCTAGCTGATCGAACTATGTGTTAGCGACATGATATTTCGAAGGTAATAAATTCAATTTAGTATCGCTTTCATAATTATTGACTCGAAGCAATTTTATGTAACACAGTAGAAGTCACGGAAAAAAGTCACACATTTCGCAATCGTTTCAAATATTGTCTAATGCGAACATTTTCAAGCACAAAACCATAGAAAATACCGTTTAAATCAGCGAGTTTAATTGAATAATGCAATTGTGGTATAACTAGGTTTACCCACAATTTATGTGCATTTCATAATTTATTAGGAATGTTAATTATATGCCAAATAATATAATTATCGCCTCCAATTCCTGAAAGAGTAGCTATAAGCAATATTTTACACAAAGTCAGGGTTCAAATTGGAAAATTGTATCAAGAAATGTGTAAGAGGTTAGAAGAGTAAAGTTAACTAACACGGGTAATGAGAAGGTAATTCTATCAACATTACTTTCTTTTTAATACAGCAATCTCTTTAATTCCATAAAACAATCTACAATAATGAAGATTCCTTTAAACATCTGCAGCCCCAATTTTCATTAACGGAGGAACGAATAAACGTTGAGTATATGTTGTAGAAGTAAAAGTATTAGTAAAAAAATCCTTTTTAAATAATCGTACAATAATTTCCATTTCGATATATTCGCAGACCGTAACGATCGAACGATGGTTGCAGCGATCGTGGTAATTTGAATTTTTCCGCAAAGAATACCGAAGGACTCGCGAAGTGAGAGTGCGCCATGCAAAAGAGGAAGAAGCTGAATAACGCCTTGCCGTACTGAAAAGAGAGAAAGAAGGGTAAAAGCGTGTGGCCCCCCTGATCAATCCTGATCCCAGACAGTTATCCGTCGATGAGAACGCGGCGAAAGTGGGGAATATAGAATGGATGTAGTGGGGCCAATGGGGTATACCCCCGTGGCGAGATGTCGAAGAGCTGCAGTGTTTCGCGACGTAGACACCATTTCGAAAGGGAACCAAAAATACAAATTACTCACCGATTGTCTCTCAGTGACCAGTGACCACAGTAATCCATATAGGATTGCGTGATTTTCCCTTCGATCAGACAGAGACCAGAGGAGACTAATATGATCAAAGCGTCCATCGTAACGTTCCTGGCTGTGGTGGCAGTGACGCGTAAGTATATTTACAGATACGCCTTAGAAAGCTTGAAAAATTGAATATTCGAACCTTATACTTCAACTTATAGTAAGCTTCAGGCTTGCTTTCTATTTTCATCGTGATCTTTTTACCTTTATTCTAGAATTTATATCAATAGAAACGTGCTTATTGTATTCGACTTGCAAGTCTTGTAACTAAATACTTTAATTTCGGTTGAAATTGGAAATTTCAATACATCGAAACTGTAGTTTTTGTTACAAATTAGAATTATCGAATTTAACATTGAATTAGAGTCGGCCATGTTGGTACGCGATTACAAATGGATAAAATTAAAGCAATAGTTCTATATTCTCAATACTGTCTGTTTTTTTCCACTGAGTTATTTAATAACTGTCCAAGAAAAGTATTTGAATCTATAATTAATCTCCACAGAGATTGGCAATAATTAGTTTTACCAATATACAATACGTCCACCCGAAAAATTGTGCTGCATCGAAAATTCTCTCTTCGAAATGTTCAATATTTCTTCACGTCAGTGATTCCGTAAGAGCGTGAAATTTCTGTGCATCGAACGAAAGGAAGAACGTCGCATGATAATTGGCGAGAAGAAAGAGAACGGTTTCACTGGAACAGAACTCGAGACTTTCTCCCGGCTGGGTAGCCACGGTCTGGCCGCAGCTTCTAAAATGTAATAGAATTCCCGGTATCGTAATCGTCGCGCAGAACCGGTAAAATTTCATAACGATTTAAATATCCAAGAGGCCGCAGAGTCGTCCGTCCCGTAGCGAAAAATCGATCGCTCGATCTCCGTCCGAACGGTATTCATTTCACCGCGGTGAGTGCGTAAGAGACAGTGCTCAACTTTCTAAAGCGTAAATGTCAGATCTACGGCTACGGATGGTTGCGTAAGCATCCGCGGCGGTAGTTATGTCGTCTCTATACACATGTAGAGCCAATAAGTGGCATAAAAGAAACAAAAACAATGCCGAATCGGCTGTGGTGTTAGCGATTGTAGACAGAAGTCAGGCGAGTTCGACCACCTCGACGTTCGCTCGCTATCAGACTACTCGCTGGGCTACCTACTTTATATGCTTCTTGAAGCATGGCAATGATTTCCGGTATATCTTGCGGAGTAAACGTCGCGCGTAACGCGGAGAAATTTCAGAAATTTGTTCCACACTTTTTTCCCCCCTACTTTCTATGTACTCTCGAATTTTGTGATGTGAAACCGATCTGGGGGGTGAAAACCATCTTGCGATGAAATCCGAAATCCACCGTTATCGAGTGTTGCGTTTTATTATGTTGACACTTGTTACTTGTAGGAAAAGTAACGTTGATGCAGAATCGAACTACTGTACGAACAACGATTTTAAACGTAAAGCAAAGAAATTGGTTTTTCGTTTAAATATATGCGATACAAAATATACTACGCATCATTTTTCACGTAATTTATGTCCAGATTTATTTTCGTCTCTTTTTTATTAAAAGGAAGGAAGCAAGGTATATACGCTATTTCTTTGAATAAAAAGTAGTAGCATTAGATACAATATGGGCTTTCTGCATCAGTAAATGAACACGTACCAATGAAGGACCATTACATATAAAAACGAGTAAATTAAGTTATTAAAATAAGCAAATAACTAAATATTGATTTTTTTCAATTCCTCGTTTCATATTCAAACAATTTTCGCGTTATTGAAATGTTCATCTATTGGTCTTGGGTGTAGTCAAGGGGAGCAGGGGGGGGGGGGCGTTTGCCTATACGAAAAAAATTGGATTTTGAAATTCTCATCCCACAGTTACAAAATTTTTGCGTAATATTTAATATTGCAGTATAATTTGAAACATGACCAACAGTCTCTAGTAACAAAACGCATACATTTTCAACGATTTATGACTTAAATAAATTAAACCGTGTCTGACTACGTATAGCCTTTTTCATTGTGGCAGTCGATATGCTAATATTTTTATATGCTATATTGATGCTATATCGATATGCTATATTGATCATTCATCGGTGAAGTCTGTATTTTTTTGGAGAAGATAATTCTATGAGTAAAAACGTCTCAAAAGTGTAATAATAACATTCTTTTGCATGAGATTTCGTTTTTGACTGAAGCTATTTTGAAAATTCTTTCGATAACTAATTGAAATAGTTTATAAAAATAAAATAGAACTATTGATTCTGAATTTATACACGAAGATAAGCAAGTTCATTATCATAAAAAATTATAAAATTTTTGTTTATTGGAATATTATTCAATATTACAGACGGTGCGTTCAATTGCCCAAACAAAGATGGCCAGTACGAGGATCCGAAACAGTGCGACAAATTCTACCAGTGTGTCGACAGTCGCTCAACAGAGAAACTTTGTCCAGACGGTCTAGTTTTCGATCCTCTGAATCGCAAGATCAATAAATGCGATCACGTATTTAATGTGGACTGTGGAGATCGTCTTGAACTGCGTAAGATTTAAATTCTTACCCCATTTCCGTAACTAAACACTACGTTCATTTATTCTAAGGAGCTCACCTATAAATATTCATGCAAAAATACTAAGCAACATTAAATCTTTGAAAATTATATTATCCTTCACATTAACAATGCAGTGTTAAGAATCATGTTAGTAGTTTTCTACACAGAATTCCATTAACAGGCTCTTTGATGATGATACCTACTAACACAAGGCCTATTAATTTTCCTTTAAATACGAATTTAAAAAATTGTTATTACATTATTACACTCACGTGTTTTTATTGGTTTACAAGTGCCAATTGGCATTATAAATGAATGTTCTATTAACTGTTAAAGTGCTAAGACAAGTTGTTGATTATATTTAAAAGTATTAAATATCTATATCATTTTCGAAGAATTACATGATCGTATCTGTCATTATAACAAATAAGTCATTATAACATCAAGTGTTAAAAATCTACTCTCCAGTATAAAAGAGACACTTGTGTTACAGTGTCGGTCGCTTTTGCGGTTAATGTCCTTGATGTATACGATGCAATGACGATTGGTAGCGAAAGTGCTTTTAATTCCCGTTATATCTTCGACCTTCACAGAACCACCGCAACCGACAAAGAAATGTCCGCGAAGGAATGGTTTCTTTGCTCATCCGGATCCATCTGTCTGCAACATATTTTACAACTGTATCGACGGCGAGGCCATTGAAATCACTTGCACCACTGGTCTGCATTTCGACGAGTACAGTGGAACTTGCGTGTGGCCTGACAGCGCTGGTCGCGAAGTAAATATTCAATATTTAATCAAATCGAAACGTTTCAGTACCGTCGGAACTAATTTAAATAGTAGTACATTCGGAAATAAAGAAGTTTGTAAACAATAAGCTGCTTGTAAAGTAGTTTATACGTTTAGAAGGTTCAGCTTCATGACAATCATCTTCATTTTGCATTATTTAATTTTGTCAATAATGTAGTGATTCATTCTGCCGCCTTATTTGTGGTGAACTTTTATTATACACCGATTTTTGTCTCTTTTCTTGAGACATGTATTAATGTAAAGCGGTAATTTACATTCAGCGTCTGCAATTATTACAATAATGCAAATAAGTAAATATTTAGAAATTTACCAGATCTATATTTATCAATAGGTGTTCAGTCTTTTATAAATTATTTCAATTCTTGTATGTACGACAATTTCTTTCTTGGCCCTTAAAATTTTATACAAGCTTCCATCACATTTTAAACCATTTGTTTTCGGTGTTGCTTGATTCTGTTCATTCCTGTACTTGTAGTTTGCAATTATAACAATTATTCTCCCTCGAAATAAAAATGTTTACGCAGAGTAGGATATGCATGACGGCCATGACAGTATAGAATGTATCGTTTATTAAGAACGAAAAACGTAAGTATCTCGATATAGAATTTGAAATATAGTTATAATATTGTTTCGCGTAGGGTTGCGGAGTTGTAGATAAGAAGCTGAAAGATGGCTTCGAGTGTCCAAAGGAAACTCAAGTCGACACCAGAGGAATGGTTGTCGATCACCCGAAGTTCGCTCATCCGGACGACTGTCAAAAATTTTACGTCTGCCTAAATGGCGTAACGCCCCGCGAACAAGGCTGTAGTGACGGCACTGTCTACAACGAGGAGCAACAGAGATGCGACGCGCCCGAAAATGTTGCCGGATGGTACGTAAAAATGAACGAGATTGTCCAGCGAACCACAAATTTCTTCGATAAAATAAGTTATTAATAAAAATTGTATTTACCTGTTTCAGTGAGGATTGGTACAAGGACGATGACAAGAAGCCATGAGGAACGTTCGAAATTTATATGTCCCGCATCGGGATCCTGATATCATTGTAAAATCATGTCATCCTCGTTTAGTGTATAATCATGTGTGTGTTTAGATATTTGAATGTTCGTAATTAATAAATTCTATTTTACCTTATTCACGGCGAGGCTTGAGATTTTATTCTGGTCCCTTCTTTAATTTTGATGCAATATTTAATGAATTTCTTGTTACTGTTATACAAAGCTTTGCTGTAATTCACTGTATATACATGTATACAGAGCCTCATGTTGTTATATGAAGATATCTAAAGATACTAAACATTCTAAAGATATCTAAAGATGTCACAAGGTGATCGAAAGGATGATGTATCGCAGTTGTTATTTCACTTTCTCAGAGAGACACGTCGGCGATAGTATAGAAATTGCTTAAGTCTTCTTCATATCCAACCAAGGAAATCGGTAGAAACTTTCTCTTCGCCGTTTCAATATTTTTTGTTCAGCAGTTCACTGAGCAGACGACTTTCATTCACGATGTCCGGGAACGGTGTGTAGAGTATAATAGTTGGTTCTAGTTTATGCGATGCATCCGATTTTAATTAATTCAAATATACGTCGTAATTATTCGCAATGTCAACGAACATTACGTAGGAGTTGGACTAAAAATTTGGAAGGATAAATTATTCTAATGTATTGTTGCTTTGCCAGTAAGTGTCTACACTATGTTTCGTTTGTGCTAGTATTTCGTATTCTGATTCATTGTACCCTATCGGCCTTGATTATAGCTCAATTTTGTATCGGAAGTATTCTAGTATATCAGTATATGTAATACAATAGACGAGATTATCCGGATACACCTATACTCCGTTCCACGAGCTTGTCCCCATGACCTTCCTTACAGAGGCGGGATTTTCACGGACTCTGCTGGGGGTACGTTGTAGGGGATATGTACAGTGGTAACAGAGCCAATGAATTCATGACAGCAGGCGTCCACTACACAGAAACTACGAAAACTGATTGGTAATCAAGTACCTTCTCCCGTGGAACGGAGTATACCATTCAATGTATTTTCGTGGCCCGATTTTTTAGTGCTCTAGAAGTCTAGAACCACGCTACAGTAGACATTCGCTAAATGGAGTCCCTTTTATTGAATATGGCAACGCCCCTCGCTTACATGTATTTCTCACACACGTATGCATACCCCATTCTGTTGCCCATCAAGGAAAGAACGCAATACATACGGTGTGGCGTTTGACTCGCACATTTTTCATCACAGAAAGTGTGGTATATGTAATATTGTTTTAGTAAAATGTTTCAATACTCAATAACTTCCGCGAATAAACTTTTTTGATATCTCGAAAAATAACGGAGATAGTAAGGTGATCACAAAGTAGGTACATCCCACCCTATATGTAGCTGCGTCGCACACGTAAACTGACCATTGGTGGGGAAAGTGCGCAGTTATTGGCGGTAGTTAATTGTACAATTTCTGGAATTCTGGCTAGTAATCGGACTGATACCGATAGGTATCGATGATATTCGAAAAATTCGATTCTACAGCCACGAAATATGCAATAGACGAATGTCTACTGTACATACATATACATACCACTTTTAATGTTACGCCCAACGTTACCGATAAACCACGAATTCGGGATGTTATTATCATCAATAGAGAATTATATGCTTCATAGTGAAACATTATGACACGAAAAAATATATGTACAGTAGACGCTTGATAATTGTCGGTTCGTTAATTGATAACAGGGAATATCCCTCGCTATTCCACGTATTTCCCACCACATGCGCGCACCCCACTCCGTCACCCAGGACGTTCAGGACGCAATACATACGGGAAAGTGCGGGGTGTGGTATATGTATATATATTATTGTGTTAATAAAATGTTTCTATGGTTTTAGATATTTTTAGTTATTGTATATAAATGCAAATACAATAATCTCGTATCGAAAGACAGGAGAAATGATCTATAATCTATTTTAATACAATTTCACGACCGAGATACGTAAGTCACAAACATTTCCAATTTGAATGTCTCGAAGTATTGTAGTTTAAATTTGGTAACATTCAAGGAAGCCATTTTGAATGCTTCAACTAAATATATGAATTGAAAAAATTTCTCGAAAAAATTCTCATTTGACCTTGGCACAAACCATGAAATCGCGATCATTTCACTTACCGTCAAAAACAATATCAAAATATATAATGAAGTGTCACTTTTTTGTTATAATAAATGTTATAAATTACCAGAGTTCACCAATTTCCCGCCGAATTCCGTTTGGAGGCAGTCAGCGATGCTCAGGACTGTAGTGCGTATTTTCAAGCCGGAACTCTGAAGCAGAAAGTAAACACAAACTTTAAGTAATTACACTACGTTAAGAAAAGATTACAAATTGGATCAGAAATACGTAAATATTGTATTAATTGGTACACAGTGAAACCGAAGAGTAAACCGATATCTACGGTATCGAATTAATTTGAGATTATTTAGTCTAAATTGTATAAATATTAAAGGACAGTAACGATAGAGAGCTAATGAAGGTACTAGTAATTAATATATATGAATAAAGATGAAAGGTAAGTGTCAAAGACTTACTTTAGCACGAGCAAACTGCTTCTACGTCTTATCGCGTCAACTTTTCCGAAACGAATGGCGGGAATGACACTTCGGGTACATTCGGCTGGTCCCGTGCGATTCATTCGACTATCTTCGGGAAATCAGGAGTAGCTCATTGGTTAGAGCGGTATATCTCCGACTAATACGACTTGGCGGGAACAAGTACTTGCACCACTCCAGTTTAAACGACGAATGTAACACTTAAAAAACATAATACCAAAAATAAATATGTATTTCGTCACTTATATAAAAAATAACTTATTAAATGTTTGTTAACATGGTTATACAGAATACTAAATTTATTCAGACTTTACTTCGTGGGAAGCATGATCTGGGAAACTTACATATTTCTCGTTCTTGTATTGTAGACGAAGCCAATGTTAAGGTTAATAACAATCGAAGACCGATCGAAAAATTCTTCGTCGAAATGCGCGACAGCCTTTAAAGGCTTCCATATGAAATATGTACTTTTATCCGGAAATGGGGTTTTCTGTCATTATACCTCGTTTGTGGTGGTACGAACAAAGTATTGAATATTGAAAAGTGACTCTTACCGTTTACAATTAGCCAGTAAAGAAGCCAGAAACAAGAATTAGTGGAGCTGAATGAACAAGCTCGCAGTCAATTAGCTAAGATTACTTATCGTGGAATTAAAGATTGCATTGTAAGTATGCAATAACGATATCTCAGGTCTCATCACGTGAAGATTGTTTTGAATGGAGGTTTGAATCCATCACACCTACACAGCCTACAATTTTTTCCTAATGGAACGAGTTTAGTTTTTAAATCCTATCAGCCCCACGATGATTATTCCGCGAACAATAAATCTTCATACATGATCTTTTCACGAAAAGTAATTTTTATATGACGATTTCTGAGACGAAAACGGGAAGGATTAAAACAAGGCATTTTTATTGGTTGCAAATATTTCATTGCGATGAAGTTGTAATAATTGTACAATAATCGATGTAATTTAACATAATACCAAATTTTATGCAAAATAGTGAATGGTGGCGTCATCAATCGGCGTAAAAGGGGTATTAATTGTCTAGCAGCTTGAGCGTCTATCCGTAGATGGCGTATCAATTTAGGATTTCGGGCAGAAGTGTTTACAATCAAGGGACTTCTGTGAATTTAAACATTGCCCTTGTGCCTCTGTTTTCCGTTTTATGGTGGACATTGCCCAGTGAGCTAATCTCAAATACACATAATAGAAATGTCAATATTCTATTTCGTTGAAGTAGAAATTGGAGTGGGGAGGGGCCTTTCGCTCACTCATAGACTAATCGCAACCTGCTGAAGATAACCGAAGGATCCTTCGTCTTGTGGATATTAGGTTGATAAGACGTATTCAGAAGTAGTTCGCTCGTGTCGAAGTACGTGACCCTTGTCTTTAACTTCTAATCATTTATATTTATATTAACTATTACTACCTTCGATATTTTTCTATCATTACTTTCCTTTAATATTTATCCAATTTCGATGAAGTAACCTTAAATTAATTCGATACTGGGGAACAGGGTGAACAGGTTTTCGCGGCCTTAATTATTCATCCCGTATCAATTAGTATTTGCACGTTTCTGATTCAATTTACAATCTTTCGCGAAACACTTCAAGTTCAACAATTGCTTATCTGTGACGCAATCTTTGTTAATTTAATGTAATTGCTTAGAATGAACGTTTATTTTCTCTTTATATCTACATACAGTTACGAATGAAAATTTGATTACATAGAAACTGCGCAGTTTACCACGCGCATCGAAACATGAGTAAATAACGAAACTTTAGTACTTATAATGATTGTCTGATGGTTTTCAAATTTCGGGACGTAGTTTAGATAGGAAAAACGAACATGCATACAACGCTAGGAACAAATGTCTTTTGTATAATGTAGTATGTAGGGGAGACCAGGGACAACTAACAGGAAAAATGCCTTTAAATGATATTTTTATGTAGTCTACAGATAGACACAAACATAAATATAAAGATGAATATAAACATAAAAGTAACATAAACTTTTAAAATGTTTAAAAATGCCGACATGTATGTGGTATTAACATTCATGGTTTGCCAGGGATCAGGAATAGATTTTTCATACTTTATTGCCAACTCGTGGGCTCATGTTTATCATTGAAAGGTAGTATTTTTTCGACAAACAGTTGGTTAAATAAATACGTACACACAGTTCATAGTGTATAAAAATAGGAACAGACTTTTTTTTAGAGAATTTGGTGGTCGTGTGCAATGCGATCGATTGGAGTCGGTGTTGTTTACCCCGTATAAATTTTGTTGTTTATTCGAAGCGAATTGGTTTCGAGTAGGATCACCAGAGGGGCTAGGTCCTCGTCAAAATAGTTACTGTTTATTGTGTATTATAAATTACTTTCA